GGTTCAGCTGACGTTCATCGCGTTCCTTTCCACCCAAGCGATCACAGCTTCCTCCAGCCCAGAAGCCCATAAGTTGATTTTTTTATTGCCCGTCACACTTCATGTGGGTCACCCTGTAGTACATTGCGCAGTCATGCTTCGACATCGTTCGTAGGCAGTTAAGTAGTTTGGCATTCGCGATCCCTACTTATTTTTGGATTGACATAGCGCTCAATGTTAGTATTCCTTCGAACCGTTTCTATCTTTCAGGTTTTCGTCCTTGATCTTGCTCGACTCATATAAACTTTTCATGAGATTTTACAGGTGCTGCACGAGATATGGGTGTTTGCATGACAAGGGTGTGCATGCGTGAACGAGCTTTGGAGCATCGCCTAAGAGCCGTAGCGGATGCGTTAGCTGACGAGACGGCGGTCAGCATCCAGCAACGGGCAGCTTATTGGAAACAAAGGACTGCTGAACTGGACAAGAGTGCCGCTAAGCATGTGAAAAAGGTTGGTTCTGTATTGACTGCTCATTAGTGCTGCTAGGAAGTTCGAATGCCGCTGTACTGATATATTGTATGTATGGTTAATATATGAAATTATATAGCTCTTGATGTTCAAAAGGATCAAAAATCGCAGAAATACCTCTGTGGATGGAATGTTACTCCGAAGAATAGTTAGCGACCCGTGTAAAAATGAACAAGGAGTTACGCCAATGGGGAAAGTCTTCAGGAAAGGGAAAGAGCCAGCTATGACAATCGTCAAGTACTGCTGAAGTGAACTGATAGCAATGAACGTAGCAAAAGTCTACGGAAGTCTAATCTATGAGAAGGGATGCTTTTCCAGTGTCCAAATTCCCACAGCGCTCACGCGCACGCGGCAGATCTTTGATAAATGTCTCACCCGAGCAAACCGCTATGACCGTCGCCTGCTGAAATCGGTTCGCCTCGTACAGATCTGACCCATACATTGCGCGCTCCATTTGGTTTCTATGACGCGCGGCGAAACCTGCGCAAATTCCCATACCCCTTTTTACGAATCGCTCCATCAAAGCAGACAGATAGGCAGGGTGAAGGCATTGACGTAAAGCGTGGGTACCGACTATGTAGGTCTGTTCTTATTCCGTGATATTACGGCGAATACATTTGAACGGGACGGTTGACGTATAGAAGTGAGGTTTGCTCTGCTTTCGAAATGCGATAGCAGCGGATTTCTGGTTAGATTTGATTCCAAAGATCGAACGATTCGTGAATCAGCAGCTACACGTGTATGCTTTGCTCTTAAGCGTCGAAGCAGTAAGTGTAAAGCCACTCGAACGCGAGTTGGTTCATCGTTTTCTGCTTTTGTAAGAAACTGGTGAATTTACTGTGCAGTGTGTTCGCCACTTCACTTCCTCATTTTCATTTTTTTCCGAGCTTAGGCTGACGATGTCCTCAAAGTGCCACGAGCTCTCAAAAATTAGTAAAAACTTTTCAAGTCGTCACTACGGTTATTTCTTTTTATTAACTAATGGGCGGAAGTGGTAAAGTGCAAGTGGCGCACTATCTCAGACGCATGGTCACGGTTTCGAATACCGGGTCGATATCAGCCCAGTCTATCCAAGCCTCCCATCTCTCCGAGTTCGGTTAATTGGTACCAAACTCGTCTGGGAGGATAAAAACACTGACTTGTACATCGGCTGGCCACCGCAGGTCATTGTATGGGCCACGTTCGCATTCAATACGACACTACGATTCTGGATGGAAGTCGAGTGCGGG